CCATCCGGTGTGGAGAGCTTCCAGAGGGTGATGGCCACACGCTTGTGGAGAGGAATGACGGGCCTCATGTGCATGTCCCATCACCACAAAGCAGGAGCGAGCCACTCACAGAGCTCAAGGAAGGTGTCCTTCTTCATCCTGAAGTTCTGGGTCCGTTATTGGTCTCCCCAGCGCTCCAGGACCATTTGCTCCCACCAGTTGCTGTGGGTGTCCAGACACCAGATGCGGCGGGGAACGCTGGCATCTGGGAGCTGCAGCTGCTCCTCCCAGTCCCCCAGGAGGGTCCAGAGGATGGCGTGCGGGTCAGGCTGCAGCAGGTGCTGCAAGGCAGCCTGCAGAATGTGCAGCCAGGCTTGCAGCAACACGTCCAAAATGAGCACCAGAGTGCCCAGAGGCAGCTCCAGCTCTATGGTGCTGAGTGGTGTGGTGTTCCAAGTCAGGGTTTCAGCTGCCCTTAAATGCGATCCAGCATCCAATCAGTGTGGACACGCTATTTTGAAATAGCAAAAAACTATTTCGAATTAGTTTTTGGGTTTAGATGCGTTATTCCAAATTAGCTTATTTCAAATTAATGTAGACATACCCTCAATGATCAGGATGCCATTTGTCCCAATATTCAGGTGGGAGGCAAGTGGGGGAGGAGAATGGAAAGGCAAGTGGCAGGTGGACAGGGAGTGAAGAGACAGACAGGTGAGCGGACTGGGGGGCGTTGGACAGCAAGGAAATAAGTGGGCAGGTGAGAAACGGGGAGGAAAGATGAGGAGATGAGCGGCAGGTGTGCAGATGTACCAGGTGGATTTTGTAGAGATTAGTGAGGAGTCTGATTTGTCCAAAGGCCCCACCCCTCTAGGGACAACCTTGGATACAAGACTCCATTCTGATAAGCAAGGATGAAGGCAGCATCATAAACCTGGGTCTGCGGCTCAGCCATCCTAATGGTGGGGACAGGGTGCCACACTCTATGGCTGTGGTTTTCATACACTGTCTTCTTTTTCTCAAACTATAGGGGTTCCAGGATTTTCGTTGGAAAGTTATTCAACTGCCAGTAATTTCACGTGGTCTAATTCTTTGAAGTCCATATTCAGAAACAACATACTTGCTTCCCCCTCACTGATCTCAGAGCTTGAGCATAGGCTTGTTCACTAGTTACAACAGAATGAATAAACATTGGGCATTTCATGGTTTGCTGACAGATTTGGCCCTTCCATGGGCTTCGCCATGTAAAGACTAACTCCAATGTTCTAATGAAAGTATGAATAGTTTATAGTTTCTCAGGGAGGAAATGAGTAGAACCTTTGGTAAACTGGTTCAAGAAAACTAAAGTCCTATGTACCAAATCATGATGTCTAGAGTTTTAATAAACATGAAGTTTGTGTTTCAAAAATGAGTTTTCAGCTTGAGACATAACAGCCTTTGAACCCAAAAGGCAAACACATTAAAATAGCTCATCAACTTCAAATATAAAAATGCATTTACAGATGTTAAAGGCTATGGGTTTGCATCTCACGTAGCTGGAGTAAGCCTAGAGTGTGCCCAAGGACTCTGGACCATGCAGTAATAACTCACTCACTGAAAAGAAGTATACATTTTGATTTGCAGTAGAGATTTATAGCCTTTTCAGAAACTTTATGAAAATATTCACCATCCATATCAATGCATTTTTGCACACTATACAAAAAGTTACTTCACTGCCTTAAGAAGGGAACAAAAAAAACGCTAGAAATCCTTTTAATTGTTTAGGAGGTAGCTGAACAATAGTGAAGTTGCCTTTGCCTACACTCTCCCCTTCTAATTGCTTCCCACATCTAAGTAGACAGAAGTGACATGTTTAAAAGCACATTCAGAAATAAAAGCTGCAATGATTGCTTTTGTAACATGGTATTTCAAATTTACTAAAGTATTATATAATAACACTACTTAATGTAGCACTGCTAAACCCCTTTGCATTTTTAAGTGTTGTACAAATTTTAACCAGCTGATCCCGTATATACTGATTTCATTTTGTACCATTCCAATATGCATCAGTTATAAAGAGTGAAGAACATTAGACATCTAAGGAAACTGGAAATACTAACAACCTCATGAAAGGCTGCCCTTTTGTGGCTGACTTGGTGCAGTGTGGAACATTTCAGGACCCAATGTCATCAAACTAATAGCCGCAGTTATCAAGGCCTATCCAACTGCACCCTGATCTGGATATGAGTTGGAGGAAGGATGGAAGGGGATCTGGTGTGGCGAGGGTGTGGGATCAGGGCAGGAGGGGTGGTGTGTGAAGGGGGATCAAGGAAGCTTATCTGGGAAGCTCCCCAGGTTCACGTATGGCTCTATGCACCCTGCCACTGGTGAAGTGTGGCTTACCAAATGGTTTCCCAAATATTAGAAGGGAAAGGAGGGAGGGCAGAAGGTAGATGTGTTATAGTGGGAGATTGCACACCAAAGCAGAGTGCAAGAGGAGAGAAGAAAGAGTCACTTATGTAAACAGTGTGGGTATAATCCAAAAATTGGTCCTGTATGGACAAACACAAGCAAAGATAAAATGGTCTCCAGTAGCTGTGATTACAATCCCCATTTATTTCAATTGCTGTTCCTCTTCTCTGTAGCCATCCCTAACACAGAGGAGTTTTTTACTCCCAATTCTTCTCTAGCTGCTCACACTTCTTGGCTTATAAATGGCTTACATGATGGTTGGTACATATCAGGGGAAAGGTTTAAAGAAGTAGCTCCATCCAGCCTTTATATGACCTAGAAGTATTGTTTCAATTATTTTTCAAAATACAGGTTATTAAGAAAAAATATTTTCCCTCAAACCATGAGAACTAAAGAGTGATTATTTCTCCCAGAAAGTAAAACAAAACCACAGAGTCTTTGCTTTTTCTGAGCAATAAAACAACAAGTCAATCCTTCCTGAGCTTTCCTGGGAGTTTCTCCAACGCTACTCAGGTTAGTGAGACAGAACCAGATACCGCTACAATTTCTTGCTTTTCAGAACACTTACCCTGGAGAAAACACATAAAAATTGCCATCAGCAAGCATTTTCATTCTGTTTTTACTTCTACTTTACAATATAGTGTCATGGACTACTGACAAAAAAAAAATACTTCTGGAGGCATATATGAGTAGTGAGCACTTCACCTGTGCCTAACATAGTAGGTGTGGAGGTGAAGTAGCACACCTTAATTCCAAAATCAATCATGTATGTTTTCATTACCCCACTATTATCCTACTTGTAAAGTGTCAGAATATAGGGCGATAGCAATTTTCTCACATGCTATTTCTGTGTCCAAGGACTCCAATCAACAATCTTGACTCCATTGTGCTAGACCAGGAGTGGGCAAATACCGGCTCTTGGGCTGGATCTGGTGTATCATTGGTGGCCCCTGGTGGGCCCCCACCACTATATTAGCTGTTCCTCTCCAGGTATAGAGTGATCACAGGTTCTGTTGGCCGTGGATCACTGTTCCTGGCCAATGGGAGCTGCAGGAAGTAGTGTCCAAGTCTGTGCCACTTCCCGCCATTCCCATTGGACAGGAACAGTGGGTGATCTGCAATCACCCGGAGCTGAGATCACTGGTGCATGTAGAAGCACAGGTAAATATAGTGGTGGCAGCATGCCAGGGGCTAACTCTGGCAAACCACCTCTGCTTTATTGCCCACCCCTGTGCTAGACTCTCTATACAGATATCACAAAAAGAGAGACCCTGCCTCCCAAAAGCTTACAATCTAAGGACAAACTGAGAGAAAATATAACAAACAACATTATGATAGTATAACAATTACTATTTCTATAGTAAGCATCAGTGAGAAATGTCATACTAATTGGCGATGTAAAATGTACACCATTAATAGCTGTATCAGAAAGTAATTTTACGTGGGGGGCACTTGGATTTTTTTCACGTAATCTTGGACCAGTGTGGATATTTTTTCCTCTATATAATTATCTATTGTTTTAATAATTAGTTACTTTTTGTCCATGCATTTCAGAAAGCTGTTGTTTTCAGCAAGTGCCCTCCCCCTTGCACTCCCCTGAGCTGGTAACTGGAAATTGAGGTAATTAAAGGAGAAGGTTTTCAAACACGCACATTTTGTAACTGACACATGCTCAGCTCTTGATGTGTTCTATGCCTGTTCTCATTAAATTTTATACACAGCAAACCTGAACAAAAAGCTTGTGCAGTGTTAGGGAACAATGATTCCTTTTTGTCACTAAATAGGAGATTTATGGAGAAAATCACTTGAATCTGACAGTCAGTGACATCAGTTCTTAGTTCATGAAGAGTGAGTGGGACCTGATGGATCCTTTTTCTTTCATCAGAAAGCTACTGTTTTTCTTGTCGGCTAAGCGTAGGAAGAGAATAATGATCATGTTGATGATTTAAAAAAATCCTCTCTTTTTCCTCAGTGAATTTTTTTGCATTTATAACATGAATCATTAAAAAAATCTGATTATATACTTGAAAGTATTTTCATTAAAAAATAGGCTTTTCCAAGCACTTTCCTACTAGAAAGTCTGTCTAGATGCAGATGTGATACATGAGCATAAAGAGTCTGGTTTTCAAAAGATGACTTCCACTTGTGCCCTAGTATCTTTAGGCTTGCATAGTCCAATGCATATGCTTTTTGTGCACCATCAACTACACACAAAGGGGAGTAGCACCTATCACTTATGTATGCAGATGCTAGCATGTTCACTGAAAAATCAATACACTTACATTTAACTTCTGCCTGAAGCATGATCTTGATTCCTTCCCATTCACAGCATGATCCCTTTAGACCTGTCCATATAGGGAGTGCTTGTAGAATAGGGACCTGACGGAGGAAATTGTCTAAAAATAATTTTCTGCCCTTTTAATATATTTGTACTAGAGATTTTCCCCCAGGCCTCATCCCAATCTACAACATTACTCACTTTGCTAGGGGTTTTCTGAGTATTCCTCTCCTGAAGTAGTAGTTACAGTTCACTGACAGAAAAAGGTAGCTGCCTTGCTAAAACTAAGGTGTATGCCATATGAAAACGCCTTTCTTCAGGAACTGGGCAGAAAGTGTTGCTGGTACCTAATACTTTCTAATAATCCTTCCAATCCTATCCCAATTAAATAAAGGTCAAATCCAGAGGTCAGGCTTGTACAGATTGAGTGGAAAGACAGTTTAAAGCACCCTGGTTTAAACATGCTGATTCCACCCGATTTATTTTTTCACCTGGCTTGTAGGCAGCTCAGTCAGAGCAGGGTCAGAAAGATTTCTGTGTAAAATATGAATTCTTAAAATATCAAGTAGGTTTTTCTCTAAAACTGGACTAATTTTCTGACATTTATTCTTTTGTTTTTCCTCTCATGTTTGACAGTTTCTGCCTGTGCCCATTCACATTCTTATTATATAACAATATGCAGAAAAGGCATGTCTATGGCATACAGGCAGTCCCCGGGTTACATGGATCCGACTTACATCGGATCCCTACTTACAAACGGGGTGAGGCAGCCCCTCACTAGCTGCTTCCCCCCAGCAGACCAAGGAGACGCGAAGCTAGCCCCCCCCCCAGCAGACCAGGGAGACGCGGAGCGGCTTTTCTCAGCAGACACCTCAGCTTGAGAATAATACCCTGAGGGAAGTGAGGTGTGGGAGAATAAAACTGAGCTCTGGAGAAATGTTTGGCTAGAGTTTCCCCTACAATATGTACCAGTTCCGACTTACATACAAATTCAACTTAAGAACAAACCTACAGTCCCTATCTTGTACGTAACCCGGGGACTGCCTGTATTCCCCAAGGGAGTAAACATTCAGCTCAAGTGCCTCAATGGTGAAGTGGGTTTTACCCACGAAAGCTCATGATATAATATATTTGTTAGTCTCTAAGGGTCTGTCTACCCTAAACGCTCATTTCAAAATAAGATATTTGGAAATAACAACTCTCGAAATGACTGTTTTGAAGTAGTGCATCCACACTACAAATCCCCACTGAAATAGCACCGAATTATGTTGAAATAGAGCATCCAAACTGATTGGAGCCTGAATCAAATTTAAGGCCCCCCGGAAGCACTCCAGGAAGGGCATCAGGACAGCACACACTTTCTGGAGCTGCTACCTCAAGCTATCTGAGGCTTGTGCTTAAAGGAACTCCGCTTTACAGTCGTGTCTCAGGATCCATTGCCTTTGCCTACCTCCTTGAGGAACAGCAAACTCATTCCACTGCTGACATCACAGCCCTTGCCGACATCACAGCACTCCAGCCTTGGAGCCAGACCTGCTACAAAGCACTTGCTGGTTCTAAGAACTCATGCTGCACCTTGTGGCACTTCAGGAACAGGACCACAGTTCACTGCGGGGCACCTCCTCTCCACTCTCAATGTGCTGCTCATGTAGCACAGCCCTTCCCACCCTGCCCTGCAAACTGTGCACTGCCACTTGCAGCACCGGGACACCAATTCTGACTGGTGGGACTTGATCATCATGGATGGTGGAATGACCGGCTGTGACTCCAGAACTTCCATATGTGGAAGGACACCTTCCTAGAGCTGTGTGAGTGGCTCACCCCTGCCTTCAGGTGATAGGACACCCACATGTGACCCGCCTTCCCCCTCCAGAAACAGGTCGCCATTGCTAGTTGGGAGCTCGCCACTCAGGTCAACTACTTCTTCATCGGGAACCAGTTCGGCCTGGGACTATCAACCATTGGGGCAGTGCTCATGCAGGTATAACTCTCTTACTATTGTCCCAGGGAGGTGGTGAACTACAGGAATGGGGTTCCCTAGGGAAGGGGGGTGATGGACTGTCCCTCCCTGGAGATTTTGCAGTCCCAGCTTCACAAAGCCCTGCTGGGGATGGGGTACATGGGGTTGCTCCTGCTGTGGGAAGGAGCTTGGGCTCAGGGAACTCCTGAGGGATTTGGCAACTCCGTGATTCTCTGTTTGTATCCTTTTACAGGTGGTGAGGGCCATCAATGCCATCCTGCTGTGCAGGATGGTCATCCTGGGTGAAGTGGACCCCACTGTCACTGGCATTGCTGCCATGGGCATCCCCAACCATGGGAGGGGCCACTGACAGCACCCACATCCCCATCCAGATCCCCAACTGTCAGTTCTCTGGGTATATCAACAGGAAGAGCTACTTTTCAGTGGTGCTGTAGGTCTTCATGGATCATTCACGCTGCTTCACCAACATTAACTTCCGGTGGTCGGGGAAGGCACACAGCACCTGAATAGTCCACAACTCCAGCCTCTTTCAGAGGATGCACGCATGCTGGCACATTTTCCCCTGACCACACCATCAGGGTTACATGATTATGTGTATTGTGGGAGACGCAGCCTACCCCTTGCTCCCCTGGCTGATGAAGCTCTATATGGGAAACCTGGACCCCACCAGCAGGTGCTGCATCTGGGAGAAGGGAGCCTTCAGCCACCCCAAAGGGAGATTCCAGTGTTTCCTCGCTTGCCTGGATCTTAGTGAAGAGAACATCCCCCAGGTGGCGGCGTCCTGCTGTGTCTTGCACAACCTGTGTGAGGACAAAAGGGAGATGTTTCTGCCATGGTGGGGGCAGAGGCCAAACAGTTGGTCAAGACCTTTGAGCAGCTGCATGCTGCTGCCATCTGGCATGTCCATTGGGGGCTGTGCACATCCAGGAGGCCCTGAGGGAAAGTTTCAGACAAGGCCAACTGTGGCACCCTCCCCAAGGCCTCCCCAGAAGTGGCCTCTGCATAGTCCCTGTGTATCTCTCCCCCTGACCTCTCCTTCCCCTGCCCACCTTTCCCTTCCTTCCCCTCTCCTGGGGTATGTCTACACTACCACCCTAGTTCGAACTAGGGTGGTAATGTAGGCAACGGGAGTTGCAAATGAAGCCCGAGATTTGAATTTCCCGGGCTTCATTTGCATAAAACTGTGCGCCGCCATTTTTAAATGTCCGCTGGTGCGGACTCCGTGCCGAGTGTAGCCGCGCGGCACGGAGTCCGCACTAGCGGACATTTAAAAATGGCGGGGCCCCGCTTTATGGAAATGAAAACCA